CCATTTTACTGATGAAATAACTAAATGCAACCACTACTTCTACTCCAGAAGTTTCTTTTCTTGCACTTCTCACCTGTGGAATTCCCTTCCATTTCCTTGCTTTTCATGATAATTACAATTTTTAAAAAATTAAATACAACATCAATTACTTTCTTCTCTTTTCCTGAACCCTATTCATTTTTTTTAAATTTTTTTTGTCCTTTCCTCAATCCTCCCTTTTCTCAGTCTTCTCTTTCACTTTCTGTAACCCCCCCCCTGCATGCTAGCAGCATTACCGCCTTAAAATGAAATGATTAAAAATGAAAAATATATCATTTTCTCCCATATCGTGTCTTCCAATAAGTCTTTTCTAACTACTTTATTGCAACAGCCAAGTTTTCAGATTTCTCTTGTTTTTAAAATTAATGACTAATTTTTATTTTTATTTTTTTCCAGATTAATTCAATCAATCGATCAATAATTTGTTTAAAGGATTTGAACATTATGAAGATTTAACTGCATTGGAATTAAAATAATTTAAAAAAAAAAAAAAAAGAAATGGATTATTTAAACTCGTCTCTTAAGAAAAAGAGAAATAAACAAGGGGGAATGGAAGAGCAGGAAGAGCAGGAAAGGACCTCATCATCTGAAGAACGGCATCACAGAAAAAAAGACAAAAGCAAGAAGAAGCATAGGCATGAGAGAGAAAGAACTGAAGAAGCAGAAGAAGTGTTGTCTGGCAGTGAAGAACATGAAATGACAAGAAAATCAAAGAAGAAGAAGAAAAAGAGAAGGTTCAAAGATAGAGAAAAAGAAAGCGATGTCAGAAATCCCGACACAGTCAGTGAGAAAGCGGAGGTATCATCTGCTGAAGAAGACAAGGAAGAACGAAAAAGAAAGAAGAAAAAGAAGAAGCATAGGAGGGAGGATGAAGAGGAAAAAGAAGATGCAAGGTATCTCTCTCATGCTGAAGGAAAACACAAAAGATCTCGAAAGAAGTCCGATTCTGGAGAGAATGTTGATTCTGCTGAAGAACCTGGTGCAAAGGAGACGGAAAAATGTTCGAAGAAGAAGAAAAAGAAGAAGGAACATAAATATTCGTCCGATTCTTCCGAAGCAGAAGTTAAAACAAAACATGAGCATCGTTCCAACAAGGATTCAGAAAAAAAGAAAAAAGAAAGTGGATCCTCGAAAAATAATCACGGCAATTCAGCCGAACAAGAAAAAACTCATGAGACTCTTGTTAGTCCAGGCTCAAAAGATTCTGAAGGAAGTGATAACAAACCTGTTGGAAATATGGGGCAGTGGTCAAGTGCATCACTGGGTAGCACTGACCGTCAAGAAAAATTTTTCCGCCTTCTTGGCGGTAAAAAGAAAGACGGTGCATCATCTTCAAAATTCGGATTGTTTAACAGAAAGCCGGCATCAAATTTTGGGGGATTAAATGCAATGAGCCAAGAAGCGGAGGCTGATCTTAACTCAAAACTTGAAGAGCAATATAACTCCGCCTTAAATATGAAACTTGCAGGTCAGATTGGCGTTGGTCTTGGTTATCAGAAACCATCAGAGACAGGATTTCATATCAACAAGGAAGCCAAGAATTCTACAACTTTTGACGAATAAAGACAATAAAAAAAATATTTTTTTTCTCTTCTTTCTTATGTGAGGACAGATTATTTCATGATCTAAACTATTCACATCTTTCTTTCTCTTCTTTTTCTTCCACCTCCTCCTCTTTCTTTTTCTTTCCTCTTTTTCCCTTTTTTCTTCCCTTTTTCTCCTTTTTCTTTTTTCTTCTTTTTCTCTTCTTCCCTTTTTCTCCTTTTTTTTTTCTCTTTCCTTTTTCCCCTTTCTTTTTTTTCTCTTCTTTCCTTTTTCCTCTTTCTTCTTTTTCTCTTCTTTCCTTTTTCTCCTTTCTTTTTTTTCTCTTCTTTCCTTTTCCCCCTTTCTTCTTTTTCCCCTTTCTTCTTTTTCTCTTCTTTCCTTTTTCCTCTTTCTTCTTTTTCTCTTCTTTCCTTTTTCTCCTTTCTTCTTTTTCTCTTCTTTCCTTTTTCCCCTTTCTTCTTTTTCCCCTTTCTTCTTTTTCCCTTTCTTTTTTTCCTTTTTTTCCCCTTTCTTCCCCTTTCTTCTTTTCCCTTTTCTTCTTTTCCCTTTCCTTTTCCCCTTTCTTCTTTTTCCCCTTTCTTCTTTTTCCCCTTTCTTCTTTTTCCCCTTTCTTCTTTTTCTCTTCTTTCCTTTTTTTTCTTCTTTTCTCCTTTCTTTTTTCTCTTTTTTCCCCTTTTCTTTTTTTCCTTTCTTCTTTTCTCTTCTTTCCTTTTCCTCTTTCTTCTTTTCTCTTCTTTTTTTTCCTTTCTTTTTTTTTTCTTCTTTCCTTTTCCCCTTTTCTTTTTTTCTTTTCTTTTTTTTTTTCCCTTTCTCCTTTTCTTTTCTTTTTCTTTTTTCTTGTTTTCTCCTTTTTCTTTTTTCTCTTTTTCCCTTTTTTTCTCCTTTTTCTTTTTTCTCTTTTTCCCTTTTTTTCTCCTTTTTCTTTTTTCTCGTTTTCCCTTTTTTTTTTCTCTCCTTTTTCTTTTCCTTTTATTATGATAATTAATTTTGAAAAAATAGTTTTTTCTCCTCTTGGTCATAAGAAAAGATTATTTCATTTTTAATATTAATTTTAATTATATTTAAAATTATCTAAAATATTATCATCCACTGAGTTATTATATTCATTTCTCTTTACTCTCTTAGGTACCTAATAGAGATTTGGGGACAGAAATGTTCCAAACCTCCACCCTTTGAGCTTACTAAGACCATCTCAATTAGTAATATTGCACTATCCCCCACCCCACGAGAGCTCAAACTGAAAATTCTGATTATTATAGTTGGTACAAGCTTTTACTTGTACACTTTTATGATTGTTTGAATAAACAATTTGATTTGACATTTAAATTCTTGCCTTAAAATTTCTTGCACTTTTTATCTGAGTTGCATGAATTAGTATTTAATTTACATGTGATTTTTTTTTGCATATTAATAGTGGCAGACTTCTTTGTATGCTACTGTCTTATCAGATAGACTGTGCAAGAAGTTCTGGTGACAAGATTGCTAATGAATATGTTAATAGTTGATATTTCCTTATAAGGAAACATTCAACATTCAATGACTGAGTAGACAGTATTAATTTTGGTTGAAATTTTACAAAAATCTTTTTCTTCAAACAATTTTTCAGGAAAACTGGTTTCTCAAGTCCAGTAGCTGTTATTGCATCGCACTTTCCAGTACTAATGGGGGTTACTTTCCTAACCTTTTGTTTGAAGTAGTGCGGAATGTCAACATCTTGATGTGTCATTATTTTCTCTTCCAGTTACATGTGATATCCATATTTGAAACCCCTTGAGGGATGTGGTTTCTGTTGCCTGGGACTGTTCTTTGATTCTGTCATGCCAGTCTATGAGATTCAAAGTAGGATCTTTGCTAAGACCTACATGTTTAGTTTGATCAAAGCCATTTATCATTGATTAGAGAAAGCAGTTGTATACAGTTAGCAGTTTAAATATTTCTGAATGAGTTTAGTGCCATGCCTGACATCTATATGCAAGTTTTGATCTGATTAACCTATTTTAAACCCTTCAGACGGAGTAGACGTGTATATATGTTTTTACTGAAAGCATCTTTTTCAGACATGGATGAATAGACAGGTTCAAAATATAACGTTCAAAAACCAGCTAGAGACGTGTTTATACTTTCATCTTGGTTCTTTTTATGTCCTGAGTTTGAAACAAATTCAATTATCAACTCATATGTCTGGTAGAGTTGTTAGCCGCTACTCAGATACTTCAAGGTGCCTCAGTTTCTTAGTTACTATATTAAAAATAAATAAATTTGTCTGAAAATGAAACGATTTTCCCAAAATAATTGGTGGGAAAAGGGTTTTAGAGCATGAGTCAAATTTTTAGTTTAATGTTTTGGATTTGTAGTAATTTGTGGTGTTAGGCAAAACTACCTCTAATGCAGCCTTATTCTGTATTCAATTTTTTTTATCTTCTATATTCAATTTTGTTACAGCTGATTTATACACTGAGGTATTTGAAGTGTTTAATATTTACTAATGTCATCACATACTGAATTATTATGATGGATTTATGGTAGGAGATGTCGGTGCTTTCATCTCAATTCCAGGTCATAGTTTCTGTTTTCTATTTATCTAGAATTCTATTTCTTGGAACACTTAGCAAAGGATGTTAATTTGGGTGAGGTGTATACAGTAGTGCTTCTGAAAAAGAAAAACATTTTAAAATCTTTTGCCTTTTAAATGATTTTCCAATCCTCTTTTATTATGGGATTGTTGTTTATTTAGAGAAAATCCCACCCTCACTCCCAATTGTTAAGATTCCACGTGTATTAAACACCTAAGAGTACTAGCGATCAGATTATTTTATTTCTTAACATTAATTTTAATGATTTTTAAATGATCTACTATTTTTCTCTTTTATTACTCATATGAAAACCATAATTCATTTATTAACACTTTTTAATTTATTAATCTAAAATATTAACTTCCTATGGATTGTCTTTTTTCTCTCCTTTCTCACATAAGGACAGCTTCCCTTTTTAAATTTATTTGAATTACTTATTATATTTTTACACTCTTTGACTCTGTATCTTTTGACTGTGACACTGCACTCAATGAATTGTATCACTTTGCTTCTTGAGATTGTAAACTATCAGTTAAATACATACATCAAAAGTAAATGTATATCTGATTACTACATTGTATGTTCAAACTTGTGTCTTATTTTGTCTTTATAATCTGATGCTGTTAATTATAAATATTTTTTTATTCTAGTAGGACCTCACCATCTGAAGAATCACCAAGTTTGGCCCAATCACCAAAACCTTTTGTTAAACTAAAACTATTTTCAAAGAAGCAAAATATGAAAAAAAGTATTCTAACATAATCCTTTAATAATTCTCATTTAAAAAAAAAAAATGCCCTTCAGAAAATAGGTAATCATGATTTTCCACAGATATTTGGTGCTTACAGCCATGTCATGTTGAAATATGAGTTCTCATACAATCACTGAAGTTAAGTAATGTCAGTCCTGGTCAGTACCTGGATGGGTGACTGCTTGGGAATACCAGGTGTTGTAATGGATAATGGCTCGTAATTGTTAATCAGAGAACTGAGATCCATTCCAATTAAGTTCACTTACGAGCAAATGCCTTTGGGATTTGTGTGAATTCCCTTCTTCTCTTTACCCCCCATGTATGGGTTAATTTATAAGACTTGTATCACTAAACTATTATGACCTCAAAAAAAAAATGCCTTCACCATGGTTTTAAATTCATAGAAATCTTTCTCCTAGACTGGCTGCCACCTAAGGCTAGAGAGCAATCTTTTCTGCTATTGAGAGGCTGGGGGTAGATACATGACTTTCACAAGAGCACTTGTGCGAAAGTGAACATACCAGGCCCTGCTGGGATTTGAACTTGGTTCACCAATTCCAATTTTCCATGCTGATAATTATTATGCTACCACTCCATCATTATTATTATTAATAATAATAGTATTTTGAAAATTTAAAAAAAATAACCTTTTTAAGTGTCCTTGTACTCAAAGTCAACATCAGATCCTTAGTGGGAAAACTCAAACCAATAAAAGTTTAATTCATTGATTACTGAAATATTTTTGTCAGTTCCCTTAATTTTTTATAGTTGACTTGTTTTGAAACTGAAATATCTTTCTTGGTGTATGTATATGTGTGTGTGTGTGTGTGTGTTATGTACTCTCACTCATGAGATGGGCTTTGAAATATTGCCATTTAAAATAAGCATCAACTTGAGAACAGTTTTATAATTAATGAAATTTTTCCTGTGAGGGAACTTCATTTCTTTCAAGAAAAAAAAAAGACTTTAAAAAGTTCTAAAATTTTAATTACATTTTTAAATATGGTGAGCATTTCCCATTGTGATATTTTGATATTATCCAAGTGAGGAGGTCCTACTGCCTATGCAAATATCCATTTCTTTGTAACTGGTATTTAATGGAAGAGAAGCTGACAAACTGGATTGCTGCTAGAAGAGAAATTAGAGGGGAAAATCTAGATAGATTTGAAGAAAGTAAACATTAGTTCATAATTTTGGAGAAAGACACAGTGTTGGCTATATTTATGTTTCTCTCGACCTTTTACCAGTGATGGAAAATTTAATTAGTTGCTATAGGAGTAATGTTTTGTGATAGCATCAACCACTTGGCATTTAATTACTTACCTGGAATGCATATACAATTTTATTCTTCAAAAACAATTCTTCACTTTGCATGTTTGGGTGAACTGATTCCTGACCGAACTGGACACGATCCTTATTCTTTTCAAGAGCATGATCAAATTTATTACATTAAAATATTAAAACACTCGCATATAATGGATTACTTAATATTTTGCTTTTTTGTGTTCTGAGATAAATGCCATTATTTTAATTATTGTCGAGATCAAATTTTGGTTACTGTGTTTGCTGGGCTTCAAGGTATTATCTGAAATTTAATTTTTTAATAATTTTATAAATTTTCAGCTAGTACCTTCCTCTTCATTGTGAGCACAATGTTTTTGTTTTTACTGATTCTCTTGCTGAAATTACTTTAAAAAAAAAAAACAAAATTGGTATGTCAAATTTTTGACACTATCTGAAGTTGAGCAGTCTTCCACAGATTTGAACCGTTCATTTTAAACAAATCTTTGACACTGGAATTCATGAATTGACTTAATTATTGTAGGAGTAGAAATTTAACAAAACTGAAAAAAATGGATGCAGTACAATGATTATTTTGCAAATGATTTCTCAAAAATCAAGAAAATACATTGGATGTGACTTTGTGTTTATAAACAATAAAGACAAGGAGACTTGTCATTTTTATGCTACCAGCTTTTAAACATTATTCAGCATTTACAACTTATGTAAAAATTATTTTTGTATACTATTTCTGACCCATAAGTTTTTACATTTAGTGTATGAAATATGTGGGCAAATATAGAAACTATTATTGGACATATAGTCATTTTTATCCTAAGTTATTTGTACTTACTAATATTTTGTACCATTGTAATTTTTTTTATCAATTTTTTAATATAAAACAATGTAACTTTATATCTTCATTTGTGGTTTTTTTGTTTTTTTTTTTTACTAATGTTCACACAATATGAGGCCTAAGAGCCACTCAAGGTAGAGGGTTACTGTATAAGTGGAAGAAAGGGAAAGAATTGAAGTTCTAGCTTTTTTTTGAGTAACCAAAAATAATCTTTTTTTTTTTTTTTTTTTTTTTTTCATTTTGCTACACTCCAGATCATGAATATCTCTATCTATAAAAGTCAGGATGTGTGTGTGTGTGTGTAACGAATGCAGAGCCGCAATTTTCAACGGATTTGCACCAAAATTTACATGCACATGCTCCAAGTTAGCAGGATGGTGGAAATAATCGACTTTTCATGCTTCTACGGCAGTTTTCATGTAGTTTGCAGTCATTTTCTACTGGCCAGAGGGAGAGCCTATAGCTAGCTGGCTGCCACATATAGGCAGGAAGATTCTATTGGCCAGCGTGAGAGCCAACAGCTGACTGACACGAATGTTAACTAGCATGCAAAAAAATCAATAGCTGCATTCGTTATAAGTGGGGGAAAATTTAAATCTGCATGACACTTTACCCCAATTGGCTCATTCGCTTGCTTAAACTCAACGTTGATTCTGATTCTGCAGAACTGGGTTGGGTGTGAAAAAGTATTTGTTGTTAACATTCTTTTTTCATTCGGTTTTTCCAGTTATGAGTCCTTTTTTAAAGATGATTGTTTTGTGTTCATTTTGTTTAGTTCTTTTTTCGTAACAGATTTAATATTTAGTTTAGAGCTTAGAAAAAATTCGCAGTGTGAGATAGGCAAGAAGTAAGACATGTAGCAACATCAGCACAGCAAAGGGCACTCCTTTAAAGGCAAGGAAGGGCAAAAATATTTTTAAGTCAAGTGATAGCAATTGCTGTATGAGTCGTACGATTTTTGAATCAAGCACGGGCAACGCCGGGCCATGCTGCTAGTAAAGCAATAAATTTAAATTTTAAAACCTAACTTTATCTCCCCCTTCCTAATACAGAGATATTCTGTTGTTCACTGAATGCATTGCTCAAAGCCTATAAGTAAATATGCCTTGTGTTACCATAATGAAGGAATATCTAATTATCTAAGATTAATAATGATTTTTATTTATCTTTAAATCTTGATGCCCACAAAAAAACTGTGTGAAAAAGACAGTTATTCCTTTGACACCACTTTCTACACTTGACTCCCTTGGCACTAGTTGTTTTTAAAATGCAATGATTAGAATTTTAATAAAACCAAAAAACATGAAAATGAACTTATACATTTTTTTTTTTTTTTAATATCAACAAAGATATTAAACACTATTTACAACATTATAAAATCATGTGAACCAACTATAATGAATGTTTTCATAGTTATTTATATGGTAAAATAAAATAATATATAAATAAAAATAAAATATAAATAATATAAAATAATGTACAAATAAAATAAAATGGTAAATAATAAATATTGCCATTGCAGTTGGTTTACATATTTTGATAATTTGGTAATTTTTTTATAAATTTATGAATAAAAAGATTTTAAAAAAAGGGTAAATAAATATGGCATTGTACTTGGTTCATATTTTTATAATCTTCTAAATAAACATTGTTGAGGGAGTCAAAAGTGTATATAGTAATAATTGTGTCAAGAGAATAACCAACCTTTTTTTTTTTTTTTTTTTTTTTTTTTTTTTTTTGGTCAGCAAACATTGCTAAGTTGTTATTTTTTTTTTTTTTTTTTTTTTTAATGAACGTCCTGTGTAAGATGATAAACTACATCTGACAGCAAGGCCTCTGATCAGGTTTTGAGGAGCGTGGAACCACCTCTTAATTGCTAGTGTTCCCAGGTCCACCCTTGATTGGGGTGGTAGCACCTGTTAGGGTCCCAGCTATGGGCAAATAGTTCCCCCAATGAAAACTGAGGTCAAAATGTGTAAAAATAGGTTTTAATACCAGCAATATATTTTTGAAAAAAAAAATCGGCTATACATTTTTTGGGGAAAAAAATATTCCCTGAAAATGATTTTTGAAGAAAAAAAATATTACCAGAAATAGATTTTTTGAAAAAAAATGTTACCAACAATAACAATTTTGCCGGTATCAAATAATCCATTGAAGTTGATAATGCCATAAAACAAAAATCCAACCAAACAAAGCTTTTAATGAAAACTTACTTTTGTTAGGTGGGATGACAGGACACTCTGAAGAAGACAAAACTATGTCTACCACCCACTACAGCTATGCCACACCATATGCTACACTGAGTAAGGAGAGTTGTGGTGAGAGGAAGCAAAAGAAACAAGTTGCCAATTAGGAATTATGAGTAATTAGAAACAAAGACCACTGAATTGTTATGTAATATCAGTCCTTCTATATGACAGTCTCCTCACAGATGAAGATGAAACGTGAAGCACCAGAAATGTGATTCTACAGAAGGATGCTGAGAATACCATGGCTTAGAAGGATCAAATGGTTCACCTAAGTTCTTAAAGACTGGAACAACAGAAGACTGTCCTGGGTATAATGATAAACTATATCTGCGTCCCGGGTAAGACGATAAACTACGTCCAGCAACAAGGCCACTGATCAGGAGGTTTTGAGGTGTGTGGAACCATCTCTTAATTGCTAGTGTTCCCAGGTCCACCCTGACCTGGGGTGGTAGTACCTGTTAGGGTCCCAGCTATGGGCAAATAGTTAACCTACAAACTGGGGTAAAACACTATGAACATGTAAAAATAGGTTTTCATACCAGAAATACTTGGTAAAAAATTATTACCAGTGATAAATTTTTGAAGGAAAAAAATTACTATCAGCAATACATTTTTGGAAAAAAAATAATACCAGCAATAAAAATTTTGTTGGCATTAAAAAACTCATTGATGTTGATATGCTGTAAAACAAAACAAACGAACAACAGAAGAGGATTTCCAACAGGCAGGAAAGGAAGAAGCATCAAGCCATTTAATATTGAGTTTAGAGAGAAAGGAGCCAGTTTAGGAAAACATTTCTTAAGGTCTATTCCAGG